TAATCCTTATATTTCCATGGAAAGAACTCAAACTGAAACACTATGTGGCACGTAAAACTCAAGTGGGTTCAGTTGTTTCCATGGAAATGAGTTGACTTTGAGTTGAATTGCTATCTTCTATTTAACTACAAAATATTTGTACGATATGTCAAATATTCGTGTTTGATCGATGCGCTTACAGTTAGGAATGTACCGAAGACATTGTGCTTTTCTTAAAATGCATATAACTCATGGAAAGCTCATTCACATAAATTGAGTGACGTCTCATTCGAAAAGAAAACACTTTTTTTTCAGTTTCCTTCAAACAAGAAAAAATTGCTAATCTTCCTTTTTAATTTCTTGCTGTAACTTTAATCTGTTTATAGCTGGTGAGGGCAAATTGTAAAGAGTGGAAACAAATCTCATTTGAAAGAGAATTTAGTGCTCTATAAACTGAGTGTCTCAAACCCAGAGATGGGCAAGTTGAAGTTCTTTTATTTTAAATATAGCCTAAGTCAGCGGCCTGCCAGTTCAAATTCACTTTTTTTTCAAAGTTTTCTACACAGGGTTGATTACTGATCGTCTTTAAAAGAAAAAGCCCAAAATTGTATTCGGTCAAATCTGTTAATAAAACCATCCATCTAAGTCCAGTCCAAGTTAGATGAAAATCAGTTAGAATCAGTCCGAGTCAAACTTTTCTAACGTTTTTTCGTTGTGAATTCACCATTATCAGCAGTCGCCTTTTTATAAACTGAATGACAAAACGGATGAACGCTCCCTATCTTATTTCATTCACAGAAGAGAGAAGAAGAGAACAGCAGTTGATCATCAATGCAGACGGTGAGTTTTCTCTCTTCTCTTGGCTGGAACCCATCTACTTATTTCAAGACAAAATAGAAACAAATAATTGTTCTTCTTTATCAGTTCTTCCTCTGTTGATATTTTGTTGTTACAGAAAATTGTTGTTTTCATAGTGAAAAAGATTGAACAGTTGGATCCTGATACATACCTACTTGTAAACCACTAGTTTTAACGGCATGCACAGCTACAGTAGCACGTTCCACTAGTGCACCTTGTTCAAAACTGACAGTATTCGGTATTTTATGTACCATGTAATCTTCCACAACAACAAATTTTGCAAATCCACCATTTCCGGTCAGACCAATAAAACCAATCGGCTCTGATCGATTATATTCACCTCTTTTTGCAAAGACATTATCTGGATTTCTAAAAATTGGCTATACTACAGCACGATCACCTGTCTTGACACCATTACTGTAAACGTTATCTCCTACTTCAACAATCACACCCGAAGATTCATGTTCCATCGTTGTTACATCGTAATGTCCATTTAATGGATAAGGTTCTTTCATGGAAATTATCATTGGACATGTAAATATTCATGTAAATCTGTTCCACAGATACCAGCATATTTTACTTCTATTGTAACTTGATTTTTGTTGGCAGAAGGAATAGATGTTTCTTCTACACGTAAACCTTTTGCTGCATGATAACGGACAGCTTTCATTGCTGCTGTATTCGTATGATCAACTTTAGAATTTTTAGATCTATCTTGAAAGACACCACAACTAACCAGTAGTGTCAAATCTGAAAGTTGAATTCAATTATTGAAAATCTATTTCAACTATTCAATTATTCATTTTTCGTCGTCTT